TGAGTGAGTGAGTGAGTGAGTGTGTGAGAGAGAGTGTGTGAGAGAGAGTGTGTGAGTGAGAGTGAGTGTGAGTGTGTGAGTGAGTGAGTGAGTGAGTGTGTGAATCTACACATCTCAGTTCTCCAGCGGCGGCCATCTTTGTTGTAAACGAACTCAACCCAAGCGCTCTTCAGTGACGTGGATGATTACGTTACGGTTGATCATCTGTCCATCATTAGTAGGCCATGAGACGGGACCCCAAATTTGGGCTACCGGTACCATTTTGAGGGATTCAATTTCTTTTTGATTTTCATGAAGGTACACATCTCTAGTGTTGGAAAATGTGTGATAGCATCCGATCCATGGTAGCTTTCATTAGAAATCAACACTTATATCATCCTACCTCAAGGTAAGGTGTTCAGTGACTACAAGAGAGAAAAATGTATCCTTTTATAATTTAAAAAATTTATTTAAAAAAATGTTATAATTTTTTTTATTATAACATTTTATAAAATTTAAAATTTATTTAAAGATAAATTCATTTATCCTTTTTCTTGACATATGTTTGAAAATCGTCCTCCAAGGTAGTTTTTAACCAAAAACTACCTTGAATCTAATGCTATCACACATTTTTCAAATACAGGGTCAAATACCTACACAAAAATCACCATGCGGTTTAATCCCTCAAAATGGTACCAATCAACCCTCTGTCTCACGGCCTATAGGGCCCTATAATTTCCGCAATCACGGAATCGCAGACGGAATGGCAAAATTGGTCAATTAACGCGGAATCTAGTGTTAACGCGGAATTTCGCGGAATTTTACATATTTGGAATGAAATTCTGTTTTTGTGTGGAACGTATGTCTGGTGAAAATGCAGACCGGGGGAAGCAAATCTGGGCGACGCAACCCCTCCCGTCATTTCAGCTCCAATGACGGCATCAAAACAATGAAAGCACGGCGAAGCGGCTCTCCACGGCTCTGCTTTCCTCGGCGAAAAAGTGAAGAAACTCGACGCCAAGCGCCCTCAGTACCGAGCAGTTCGCACGTGACTTTTATGAAGTGTTTCCCACACAGACTAATTCGTGGAGGTGCGCCACAGAATCAACACCGGCCGCCACATATAGCGTTTCATTCTTTTTTTTACGCTATTTAAAACACGCAGCGCATCAGTTGCATTTCCTTTCCCTGCTCTCCCTCCGTCTCTCTGTCACTCACGCGTCTCTCTCTCTCTCTCTCTCTCTCACTCACACACGTCTGTCTATGAGGTGCCGGACTGGACAAAAGCGAAGTGACACTGCGTGAGAGAGACCGAGTGTGTTCGAGAGTGCGCTCGACAGTGCGCAAGAGAGAGACCGAGTGTGACTTTTATTTAAACTTATATAAACTAGGGCTGTCAGTTAAACGCGTTTTTAACGGCGCTAACGCAAACCCATTTTAACGGCGTTAATTTTTTTATCGCGCGATTAACGGTCTTTTTGGTCTAGCAAACTTTGTAGTTTTTTTTTCACGTGCTTTTGCAACAGGAGCATGCGCGGCGCTGCGCTATGAAACCCATTCATTTCAATGGCTTGCGCCGCGCGAGGACGTTTTGAAAGCGCAAGCGGATCTAGCTAGACCGGAAACAAAACAACAGGCACGCCGCACACACTCGTTTGGGCTTGCGAGCCGGCCAAATAGTTAGTTAACGTTACGTTTTGAGTGGATGACGAGCGCGAGACGCCGAAATGGATGCCAATAAGATTCTGAATGGAAAGTTTATTTTTAAAAAGTTGCCAAACGGTTCCATTGACGAGACCAAAGTGATCTGTGTGTTTTGTCGTAGTGAACTGAGCTATCATCATCACAGCACGTCCAGTCTGAAACACCACTTGATGATGGCCAATCACACACACACACACACACACACACACACAAACACACACACACACACACACAAACACACACACACAGCTGATGCGAATTCTCCGCCCCCTCGTCAGTATTTCTTTCACCCTTTTATTGATGGACAGTGTTATATTGTGTGAGAGATTATTTGCTCCAAGTGTGAATGTTAGTGTGAAATTGAACACAGTATATGCCAATGTTGTCTTCAATAAAAAACATTTGCACAAAGCAAGCCGATCCACTTTTCCATGTTGATAAGAGCATTAAAATAAGAAAAAATAATGGGACAAAAAGAAACCAAGAGACATTTAGAATAGATAAAAATGTGCGATTAATTGCTAGTTAACTATGGCATTAATGCGATTAATCACGATTAAATATTTTAATCGTTTGACAGCACTAATATAAACTAATATAATTTATTTTACTGGACAGTTTAAAGCTCATAACCATATTTTGTTGTTACTTGAAGTACTTAGAGTGCAGTGTTATGTTGCATCATGCAGTATTTGTGCTGAAAAGTAAGAGTAAATGTCTGTTACCTCAATAAATTTAATCTATTTTATTTTAGATTTTAATCATTAACATTAAAGTTTTTACAACTAAAATAACAGTAAAGGGTAAAAAAAACCTGAATTCCCAAAAATTTAAATGGGGAAAAAAAACCAATTTGCAATAATTAAAATGGAAAAAACGGAATTTGGGAAAAAATAAAACGGATTTTATAGGGCCCTACATCATCGTGTAAAGCCCGCCCTGACAATTCGATTGTTCCGAACAGCTTTGGTTCGGGGATACTTGCTTCACAACGGATCAAGTCCAGACCGAACTTCCCGACCTCAGATGTTGTGGGCGGGGCTAAGCTCGGCTCGCATCCAGGCTAACTAATCATACCAACTTGTGGAGAATGGGCATCCGATGATCTCTTTAATAGAAACGTATCTCAGTGTGGACGAAAGGCCAAAATGGAGAGAAAAAGATGCGTTTTCAAACTAACACGTATTAGTGTGGACAAGACTAGAGAGGATGAAGAGTTCGACAACACATTCACATCTACTTTACCTTCGGCAGGTCCAGGAACAGGTGTTTAGAGGAGCGGATCACCGGCGTTTCCTTGCACACTTTACACTGCGGATTCTGCAGGACACAGTGAGAAACAGCACAGGGTAAACAAACACGGTAACACTTTACTATAAGGTCCATTAGTAAATGTATTAACTTACATGAACTAACAATGAGCAATACATTTGTTACAGTATTTATTAATTTTTAGTTAATAAAAATCCAGGGGTTCATGTTAGTTCACGGTGCATTAACTAATGCTAGCAAATACAACCTTTGATTTTAATGATGTATTAGTACGTGTTGAAGTTAATATTAACTAAGATGAATAAATCCTGTAGTATTGTTCATTCTTAGTTCATGTTAACTAATGAACCTTATTGTAAAGTGTTGCCACATACACTACTCTTTAAGAAATGAACACTTTTATAGAGCGTATGCGCGTGACGTCACCGTCGGCCGGAGTGACTGTGGTCACACACACTAGGGCTGTCACTTTTGTGAGAAAATCTCCTGATTTTTGAGACATTAGTGTTCATTAAATCGATTTTCCATGTCTAAAGACGTTTCCATTTTCAATGCCAAATACAGGCAAATCCACAGACACCTATCAGGCATTAGGACGAACGTAAAGAGGGCGCTTGAGACACGCACAAGTCAGCAATGTGTGTGTGTGTGTGTTAGAGTGAGTGTTTGTGTGTGTGAGAGTGTGTGTGTTAGAGTGAGTGTGTGTGTGTGTGTGTGTGTGTGTGTGTGTGTGTGTGTGTGTGTGTGTGTGTTAGAGTGAGTGTTTGTGTGTGTGTGTGTGTGTTAGAGTGAGTGTTTGTGTGTGTGAGAGTGTTTGTGTGTGTGTGTGTTAGAGTGAGTGTTTGTGTGTGTGTGTGTTAGAGTGAGTGTTTGTGTGTGTGAGAGTGTTTGTGTGTGTTAGAGTGAGTGTTTGTGTGTGTGTGTGTGTGTGTGTGTGTGTGTGTGTGTGTGAGTGAGGGTGTGTGTGTTAGAGTGAGTGTGTGTGTGTGTTAGGGCTGTAGTCAACCAAAGAAATCCTTAGTCGACCAAAGTCTTGTCCTGCACAACGATTAGTCGACTAAAAAAAAAAGAAAAGAAAAAAAAAGATGCTATGCGATGTTTTGATTGAACATTTTTTAACAATTGTCATAGAGCATTTATAAAACAACAACGAAAAAACATCCAAAATACATAAAACTATAATAATAATACAATTCTTTGAAAATTAACTGCTTTTAACTGCAAAAAGTGAGGAGCACTGTCCTAGGTCTATAGTAACAGTCACAATCGCGCACCTGCACCACACGCTACTATAAAAAATATAACTGCTATCTGCCACAATGAAAAATCCTAACAAAAGCTCTCGTTTATACAGGCTGTATGTTCTTCTTTACTTTCAAAGCTATGGGTTAACTTTTGTCCAGCCGATCTAGGCGTTTTAAAACAAACACACACAAAAACCCAAAGAGCCAAAAAAACAATCCTAATAATAATAGGTTGTATTGTATAGGTTTATTTTCGTTTTGTTACATTATTTAGGCTATTTTCAAATGCGTCAAGTGTACAAATAAAAACAAAAACATATCAAGAAAACACAATCTATTGAGTCAGCATGATAAAGCCGTTAAAGGGACTGCTCACGTCTTTTGCGCGCTCAAGTTCGATTTCAAATGTAGGCGCGCGGTGTGCGCGCTCATGATGGAAGCAACGCGGTCGCGGTGAGACCTTTATACAGTCTATGGGTGCGACCCACTCTTTTTTTCCAAGTGCGTCCACGCCGCATCGAGATAAAAACATATAGTGTATAAAAACATAAAAACCGAAACAAGTAGCGTTCTAACTGAATGAATACAGCTGAACTACCTATATCCCTTACTGAGCACGAAGCAGCAGCGCAGCCAGGCGTGTGAACCGAGTGTTCTGTGTGTGTGCGCTAAACTCTGGCGCTGTTACAAAATAGCCTAAATTAAAGCATTTAAAGTTGGGGATAAACCATAGGCTAATTATATTTAGAATACAGTAATATTTAACTGCTTATAAAGGAATAATTATCAAGGAGTAAATCATGGAAAATTTCTTTCTATTGGTAAAAAAAAAAAAAAATGCAACTGGTCGACCAATAAGAATGTCAGTCGACCAAGACGGCATCGACCGATTAGTCGACTAAACGACTAAAGTTGACAGCCCTAGTGTGTGTGTGTGTGTGTTAGAGTGAGTGTGTGTGTGTGTGTTAGAGTGAGTGTTTGTGTGTGTGTGTGTTAAGAGTGTTAGAGTGAGTGTGTGTTAGAGTGAGTGTTTGTGTGTGTGTTAGAGTGAGTGTTTGTGTGTGTGTGAGTGTGTGTGTGAGGGTGTGTGTGTGTTAGAGTGAGTGTGTGTGTGTGTGAGTGAGTGAGGGTGTGTGTTTGTGTGTGTGTTAGAGTGAGTGTGTGTGTGAGTATGTGTGTTAGAGTGAGTGTGTGTGAGTATGTGAGTGTGTTAGAGTGAGTGTTTGTGTATGTGAGAGAGAGTGTGTGTGTGTGTGTGAGTGAGGGTGTGTGTTTGTGTGTGTGTTAGAGTGAGTGTGTGTTAGAGTGAGTGTGTGTTAGAGTGAGTGTTTGTGTAAGTGAGAGAGAGTGTGTGTGTGTGAGTGTGTTAGAGTGAGTGTGTGTGTGTGTGTGTGTGTTGTCGATGTGGCATTGATCTCCACTTTTGCCCTGTTGCCGTGTTGCTCCTGATCTGTTACTAGTGTCTGATTCCACCAATAGAATTCCGGCTGCATTCTTTCGGTGGCTCTGATTGGTCAGTCGAGGAAGATGATGTTGCTTGATGTGATGCAAAGATTGGGACATTTCTACACTCACTTTCACCGGCTTCATAATGAGAGGGTTTTCTTTGGTGCTTGTCTTCGATGAAGTGATCTCAGGCCGTTTAAATCGATTCCCTATTTTCGTTTTCGATACTTGTGTTGGTTGGTCCAATCGATTGTGCAATCGATTTTCAAACGTAAAGTGACCGCCCTAACACACACTGAGTGGCAGTATTGTATTGTTATATATTGCATTGACAACTCATCAATTAAATATTTACCATTGTATATTCTGCATAACCGGATGGTTTTAAATAAACACTGACAAACACTATACAAGTTTTAGGGCTGGACAATATGCTGATATACACTGAACAAATATACACTTTTGCCCCCATTTTTCATGAGCTTAACTCAAAGATCTAAGACTTTTTCTATGTACACAAAAGGCCTATTTCTCTCAAATATTGTTCACAAATCTGTTATATGTGACGAGATAATCCATCCCCCTCACAGGTGTGGCGTATCAAGATGCTGATTAGACAGCAGGATTATCGCACAGGTGTGCCTTAGGGCTGCCCACAATAAAAGGCCACTCTAAAATGTGCAATATTTGAGAGAAATAGGCCTTTTGTGTGTATATAGAAAAAGACTAAGATCTTTGAGTTCAGCTCATGAAAAAGGGGGCAAAAAAAAAGTGTTGCGTTTATAATTTTGTTCACTGTATATATATTATTGATATAAGTGATCACATGGTATTTAGACCTATATTGTATTTATATGAACCGTTCACAGGCAAATTTCCTTTATGCATTTTATTAAATCAGGCACATATAAATGTCAGGAAACACGATTCCTGTCCGCATGTCAATATCCACGGATCACTGGATCTTCGGTAAGTTGTAAGAAACACTATATCGAGTCCAAGCTTTAGTTTAAACTGATAATCGTTTGTTTTACTCGCGTTTTCCCCATTAAATCAGCTCTTCTGCCACTCAGTGCGGATGAGGGAGTGTGTTCCCGCGGGAAAGTGACGTCAGTGCATTCCCTCTATACATCAAGGACGCATTAAATTGATCAAAACTAACAGAAAATACATTTATAATCTTACAAAAGATTCTATTTAAAAAAATGCAGTTCTTTTGACATTTCTATTCATCAAAGAATCCTGGAAAATAAAATGCATCAGTTTCCACAAATTATTATGAACGGTTTTCAACATTGATAATAATCATAAATGTTTCTCAAACATCAGATCCTCATATTAGAGTGATTTCTGAAGGATCATGTGACACTGAAGACTGGAGTAATGATGCTGAAAATTCAGCTTTGATCACAGGAATAAATTACACTTTACTATATATTCACATAGAAAACAGCGGATTTAAAGTCTAATAATATTTTGTGATTTTTACTGTATTTTTAATGAAATGAATTCAGATTTGATCAAAGACAAAAACAACACTTTACTATATATTCACATAGAAAACAACTGTTTTAAAGTCTAATAATATTTTGTGATTTTTACTGTATTTTTAATGAAATGAATTCAGATTTGATCAAAGACAAAAACAACACTTTACTATATATTCACATAGAAAACAACTGTTTTAAAGTCTAATAATATTTTGTGATTTTTACTGTATTTTAAAAGAAATAAATTCAGTTTTGATCACAGGAATAAATTACACTTTACTATATATTCACATAGAAAACAGTTATTTTAAATTCTAATAATATTTCACAATTTTTACTGTATTTTTGATCAAATAAATGCAGCCTTGGTGAGCAGAAGAGACTTTTGTCAGATATAGTAGGAGGTTATATATAAAAATATGTATTTGGAAGTGAGGTTCAGGAACGCGTGATCTCGAACCGTACCCTGAGCTCCACAGCGTTGATGAGACGGCCACATTTGTCACACTGGTCCCCGCGGGCTTCTGGGTAATGGCAGTGAGGACACACGCCCTCCACGAAGCGATCGGCCAGGAATCGCTGACAGCTTTCACAGCGAAGCTGCTCGACCGTGTCCTCCAGCAGGAAACCCCTCTCATGGAGACGCCAGAAAATATCCTGAGCGATTCTGGGGAAAGACAAGAGATTTACAGGTAAAATAGAATAAACATTCAACGTCACAGAGAGAAAAAATAGAGAACCGGCGTAACAAACTACATAACCGGCCAGCAAATAAACACTCACACTCACACTCGACTCTGTGTCGTCACAGCCTTCGTATTCGAGTGTTAAAGTATTTTGAAAATATAATGTAAGATCCAAAGTAATTTTATCCATGGCGTGTTTTACGGCATAACAAGTTCATGCATACGATAAAATGTAATTAACATTAAATAATAAAATTAAATAAATCCACTGTTTTATATGGTATCAAATACTTTTTGACTGAATCCTTTTGTAATGTGAACAAAATAAAAAACAAAATCAATCAATGCATGCTTATGATATTTGTAAATAAAATAAAATATAAAAAAACTAATAAAATAAAAAGTTTCTGCAGTGGTGATATTGAGATATTGCTCATTCAAATAAATAAAACATTTATAAACATTTAAAATGAGAATATTTTTTTAATTTAAACTTAAAAGATAATGAATTAACATATATAAAAAGAAAATATAATGTAAGATCCAGAGTAATTTAATCCATGGTGTGTTTTACGGCATAACAAGTTCATGCATACGATAAAATAAAATTAAAATTAAATAATCAAATTAAATAAATCCAGTGTTTTATATGGTATCAAATACTTTTTGACTGAATCCTTTTGTAATATGAACAAAATAAAAACAAAATCAATCAATGCATGCTTATTTTTAAACATTTAAAATTATATATTTTTTTATTTAAACTTGATTAAAAAAAGATATTAAATTAACATGTATAAAAAGAAAATATATTTTAAGATCCAAAGTAATTTAATCCAGTGTTTTATGGTATCAAATACGATCATTTTATAAAATAAACAAAATAAATCAATGCTTATGATATTTGTAAATTAAATTAAATTAAATTAGGTAAAAGAACAACGTTTCTGCAGTTTAAATGAATTCAAAATTGATAAACATTCAAAATGATATTTATTTTCTTTTAAATTGATAAAATAAAGATGATAATAACATGAAAGAAAGAAAATGTATTTTAAGATCTAAAGTAATTTGTTTAATGGTATCAAATACTTTGACTAAATAATTTTATATTTTTAACAAAATAAGAACAAAAGTAATCAATGCATGCTTATGATATTAGTAAATAAAATTAAATAAAAAATATTTTAAAAAAATTAAATATTTATGCAGTGATTATATTGACATTATTGCCAATTAGAATAAATTCTAAATTTCTAAACATTTAAAATAAAATAAATGTTTTAAGTAAAAGTTTAAAATGTATAAACAAATGTTAAAAACACTTATAAAGAAATAAACATAAAATAAATAAAAGTATTTTAATCAAATGTTTTATGGATATCACAAGTTAACAACAATTAATTCTTGCATATGACATTTGTAAATAAAATAAAATGTTTCTGCTGTGATGATATTAACATTATCAATTCATTTCAAGAATTTATAAAAATATAGAACTATTATATAAATATATTGACATATTCTAATAAATTCTAAATTTATAAACATTTTAAATTCTAGATTTTTTAATTTAAAACTGATGACAATGATATTGACATTGTCAATTTTCTTCAAAATCTATAAAAATATAGAATTATTATGTATTCAAATTCTAGATTCTTTAATTTAAAACTGATGACTGATGTCAATGATATTGACATTGTCAATTTTCTTCAAAATGTATAAAAATATAGATTTATTATGTAAAATTGATCAAAAATAAAATTAAACAAACTATTAAAAATAATAATAATATAAAAAAATAAATAAAAATAAAATAATAAAAAAATATAAATATACACACACATAATAAACTGAACGTAACCATAAATAAACAGTAAAAACTCATCCGTTTAAACTAACGGTCGCGGAAGGCTTCGCTAAGCTAGCGTTCTCACTCAGTCTGGCGCTCAGTGGTGGTGCGGCCGAAGAAGTCGAAGTCGATCTGGAACCACTGGTAGATGGAGGCATGGATGGTGTGGTATTTGTCGCAGATCTCCTGCGGCGTCAGTCCCTCCTCGCGAGCCTTGTTCTCCGTGGCCGTCCCGTACTCGTCCGTACCGCAGACGAACAGGAGATTCCAGCCGCGCAGACGCCCATATCTGCAGGAACACAGCATCATATCATACGCGGGAGAAAGGGGCGGGGCAACCAATCGGCAACGTTCCCGTTTCTCTCTCGATTCAAACACTGAAGTGAGTTAAACTGCAGTTCCTCCACTGGCCACTAGAGGCCGGCTGCAGAAGAGACTCAGTCCCATAGACCCGCATGTTAAAATGCCCAACTTTACAGCAGAAAAAAACATGTTTACAGCCGGAAGCTAGTTATTTTACTAAGTTTTAAATATTCATATTTTTCTGACACAAACGCATGGTTTTGCTTTAGAAGGCCTTTATTAACCACTCTGTGGAACACTTTTATGATGCATAGATGCACTATTATGATGGATAGATGCACTTTTATGATGAATAGATGCACTTTTATGATGGACAGATGCACTTTTATGATGGATAGATGCACTTTTATGATGGATAGATGCACTTTTATGATGGACAGATGCACTTTTATGATGGATAGATGCACTTTTATGATGCATAGATGCACTTTTATGATGCATAGATGCACTTTTATGATGCATAGACGCACTTTTATGATGGATAGACGCACTTTTATGATGGATAGATGCACTTTTATGATGCATAGATTCACTTTTATGATGCATAGATGCACTTTTATGATGCATAGATTCACTTTTATGATGCATAGATGCACTTTTATGATGGATAGATGCACTTTTATGATGCATAGATTCACCTTTATGATGCATAGATGCACTTTTATGATGCATAGATGCACTTTTATGATGGATAGATTCACCTTTATGATGCATAGATGCACTTTTATGATGCATAGATGCACTTTTATGATGCATAGATTCACCTTTATGATGCATAGATGCACTTTTATGATGCATAGAAGCACTTTTATGATGCATAGATTCACCTTTATGATGCATAGATGCACTTTTATGATGCATAGATGCACTTTTATGATGATGCATAGATGCACTTTTATGATGCATAGATTCACCTTTATGATGCATAGATGCACTTTTATGATGGATAGATGCACTTTTATGATGGACAGATGCACTTTTATGATGCATAGATTCACCTTTATGATGCATAGATGCACTTTTATGATGCATAGATGCACTTTTATGATGCATAGATGCACTTTTATGATGCATAGATGCACTTTTATGATGCATAGATGCACTTTTATGATGGATAGATGCACTTTTATGATGCATAGATGCACTTTTATGATGGACAGATGCACTTTTATGATGCATAGATTCACCTTTATGATGCATAGATGCACTTTTATGATGGATAGATGCACTTTTATGATGCATAGATGCACTTTTATGATGCATAGATGCACTTTTATGATGCATAGATGCACTTTTATGATGCATAGATGCACTTTTATGATGCATAGATGCACTTCTATGATGGATGGCTTGAGGGTGAGTAAATCATGGGCTAATTTTCATTTTTAGGTGAACTATCCCTTTAAGCCTAAAAGTTCTGCATAATTAAGGGCGTGGCCACTTGAGTGACAGGTGGATTGCCGCTGCTGTCACTACTAGCCGTTTGTCTGCTAGCATTACGTCACCTCAGCTAATCCGCCTCGCTGCACATTTTCGTTTATCAGGGAGTGACGCGCGGCCAAGATGGCGATTCCGGCTCCGCCCACTTTGGGCTTCAAAAATGCTCTTTAGAAACATCAGTCACACACTAAGTCCATACTTTTTCAGTCTATGGTTGAAACTGGCGGTTATGGTAAGAGGCGGGACTTTCCCACACGCCCGAAGCGCATGACCAATCACAACACGCTGCTCCAGCCGAGCAATCAGAGCACAGTGTGCTTTTCAGAAGGAGGGGCTTCACAGAGACAGGAAGTAAACAGAGCGTTACTGACAGACTGGGAGGAGAGGAGCCGCAACAATGGAGAATATGAGGAGAATAATCAACATTCAAGCAGGAAAACCTGTTCTAGTAGAGCCTGAAACAACATTAAGAATCTGTTACCTGGCGAACACGTCGGCGCTGAGCACACACCCGATGATGTTCCCCAGGTGAGGCACGTTGTTGACGTAGGGCAGAGCGCTCGTGAGCAGCACGTTTCTCTTTCCTTCCTGAGGGAGACTGAGGAACACACACCGTAAGACGGAGGCCTGACTGATGTGTGTGTGTATGTGCATTGATTATAATCGTACATCGGGTGTTTCCTCTCGATGGCGGCAGAGCGAGCTGTGAGTCCTTCAGCCCAGACCTGCGCCGCTCCTTCGATCTCTTCCACGCTCATCACACACTCGTCCTCAGCCTGAGGAAACACACACTCTCACTCTGAACACTCAGCTAAACGCCTGAATCTCACGAAATAAAACAGCAAACCGTTCATAAATATGATATTTGTAAATAAAATAAAAATCTGTCATATTTCACATCAAAATCAAATCGAAAATTAAGCATATTTAAGGTTCATGATCACATTATTTTGATTATAAGCATTTCATTTTATCTGTAATTATAAAAAATTATAATTAAAACATTATGAATCTGTCGAGAACATTTTTTAGCATAAATAAATAAGAAATAATATTTTGCATGAATAAATTAAGCCTATTTTAGGGCCACTTGCGTGACAATTAAACTTTGATCAAAATGCATTTATTTCTTTAGATTTTACTGTGAATTGTGGACATGCAATTTTGTGAGATTTAATAAATTTTTATTAAAAGGGGCTTAAATTGAGGATAAGCTGCATTATAATCCTCATGAACCCTAAACTAAGATAAATTATGCAAAATATAATTTCTAATTTTTTCCTTGAGAAATTAGATGTTTACGCGTTCACTAAAACTTAAATTAGTACCTGAAATAAAGCTGAAATTAAATATATAATTATTTGAAATTAATATATTATATTAGAAGAAAAAATAAAAATTTCAACGAAAATGATAAATGTCTTGGATACTAACTGAAAATAAAGTTGAAGTACAAAAATTACTGAAACTAAAATAAAAGATAAATACAGCTATATAGAAATGATAAAACAAAAAATAATAAAAATGACAAAAGCACATAACAAAAAAAAATTAAAACAGGAAATATAAAAATAAAAGCTAATAAAAAATAGTAATAGAAGTAAAGCTGAAATTAAAAAATAGATGAACTAAAAA